GCCGTCGTTTCTGTGTACTTTGTGATAACCTAATAGATACGCGCGCTCTATCGAGTGTTAGTCGATAGTCTTTTTTTTTCGTTTTTGTTTTCAATTGGCTCCTTGTATTTATTAACTAATTTAAAAAATTTTGTATGGGGTGTTTGTCGTTTGTATCGGTTATATGCTTGTGCATGCAATTATGGGTTGCCGCTAAGGTCTGAGGATATTGCGATTTAGAAATAATATCGATATCTAAGTTTTTTCTTTTAGGTGCGTATTTCCCTCGGGGGTTATGAGTATAGTATATACGAGTAATGAAAATTCACTTACCAGATCGCCGTGACGATGGTCAGCATGACGATGATCCCGTGCATACCTATGGGTTCCTTCTTTGATTCTTCCTGGAGTTGCTCAGCTTCTGCCTTCGCTTGTTGTTCCCTTCTCCTGTGCCGTGTATTCCGTGTTCTGTGGCTGTAGTCCGGGCTTGGCCTTGAAATTTTATCTGTATCCCACTTCTGACACCAGCTGTTACGTGGGATTCTCAGTGCGGGAATAAATAGAAGTGTGACTTGTTGTTACTTATGCTTTATTAGAATTATTTATCATTGAGGGAAGTTGTGCATGTATTATTGTTTGCGGACTTCATCCTTACCCTCTCGCGTCTCTAGCTGATCTCCCTGTCCCTTCTCTCTACCTTTCCTATCACCTCTCTTCTCTATTCCCCTACCTTTCAGGCCCAAGACAGCAGAGGCGCACGCACGCATAGCTATATGCTATCGTACGTAACATCTGCGAATATACGTCAAGAATCGAGAAATCTAGCGACTTTACTTTGAAAATTCGGAACCTAATCAATAAATCTCGTAGAGACTGCCTACATGATCTTTTATCCAGGTGATACCCTCAAAAATAAGTAAAATAAGTTAAAAAAAGTAATAATAAAAATTGTTGGAGTAACGTCAAATTGAATGTGAAAAAGTACGAAAATTCTTTATCGAGAATTTTCACTTCAATTTGATTTTAAACATATGGAGGCCCCATTGTTTCGAAAAAAATATGATAAAACTGGATTCCTATTAAGCTATCTCAATAATAAAAGACACAACTAAAATAAGCCATCACTATTGCATGGTCATATCCATCTATTTCTAAGTGACTTTTTGGGAAAGTCCCGTCCACCTAAAATCCAAAATTATTCTTTTTGTTTCGAGGTATTTTTAACTGAAAACACAAGCTTTAACATACAGCGAAAATACTGCACTCAACTACAAGATATAATTAGTAAAAGAGAATAAGTATACATTTCAAAACTTTAATTATTTTTTGACTTCATTTTCAAAAAGAAAGAATATATTTTGGCACTTACTTAATAGCCCGTAACTCTTAGTAACATAAAAACAAATGAAAGTTCTCTACACTTAGCCGTAATCCACTGGATGAAACGGTTGTAGATGAAAGATGTAATTTAAACTGTATCAAATCTAACTAAAAATATTAGCTTTAACATCCAGCGAAGATACTGCACTAAACTGCAAGATATAATTAGTAATAGCGATTATGTACACATTTCAGTACTTTAATTATTTAGAAAAAAACACTGAGTCCCTTTGTGAGTCAAGCGATGTATGGTCGTACTCAATTAAACTGATCAATTGGGGCTGACAAGTTGTTAAGCTGAAGTACCGTAGTCGACTGACCCCACGTCATGTTGTGCTACCCTTTTAAGCCCCACGATTCTATTTCCATTACCAAAATTTCGTGGTCATCGAGGGGGAGAAAATCGGATTCTATGACGACGCACCCATGAACGACCAAATCCTGTTTTTTTTTTTTTTGTTTTTTTTTTTATTAATCTAAAATCAAAAACGATAATATATTATGCTAACTTCGTCTCATCAATGTAGCGTACAGTAAAATTACTCTGCACAAATTGCATTTTGTCTACTTATTGTATACACTCATTTAAATTTCAACTATTACCTTGTTATCTTTTAAAACGCTAAGTGTCTAAAAAAATAATGTTATATTTTTAATAAATAAGAACAACATAGACCATACTTATGCACACAAATTAGAACACTGTAACAGTGACAGATAAAACTCACTTACAGAATTTCTTTTTTTTTAGAGAATTTCTGAAAAAAAGGTTATAATATTCTTTCAGAAAATAATTTCTTTCAGAATAAGATTTCTGACTGAGTACTGTTAGTAAAAAACACAAATGTGTATTGAATAAATACAAGTTTTGACGAGGGATTTTATCTCTTTATTCAAGCCTATACCAGCAAGCCATCATAAAAATAAGTATTTTTTACATATATAAATTGATTTTCTACGTATAGATTTTTAGAAGAAATGCTGGCATAGACACAACTGCTTTGATGTTAATTTCTTTAAGGAATTAAGGAATGTGCATTAGCCTAAGTTAAACTCAATTGTAACTAATTTTTGAGAAACTTATCTATGTCAGGATATGATAAACATGTACATTTATCTTATACAAATGGTTCAAGGTCAAACACTGATTTCAAAAGTACCACTAGTCACTTAAATTTTTCATTTAATAATTAATACTTACGTTTTACTTTGACAAAATATTTTTTATTCAGTCACCAAAAAATGTTAAATATCACATAAAATCGAATAAAAACTCAAAACTTTACGTTATAGAGCAAAAAATGAAAAGAGAAAAATCTTGGCAAACAACCCTTTTTTCTCTACAGGCATATAAAGGTAGAAGAAAAAAAATACGAAATTGAAATCTCCATAATTATATTCTCTCTGACATCTTCTGCACATAAGGAATTAAATATTAGTACCCACATTTGTATGAACCTTTTTTCCACATGTTATTGCTTTCTTATATATAATCTGTATCAACCTTGTTATATAAAATATATAAAAATGTTAATATTGAGTAGGGAAAAAAACTGAATTCGCTTTTCTCATGCTCAATAAATTTTACGTACAATCTGCATGATGTGTATCAGGTGATGCTTTGATAAGCACACAATATACGAAAAACAACATAATACAATCTTATTTATTTTTTGATAATTTTTCGCTTAAAACTTTAAAAACGAAGTTTTTATATTCATGTACAAAGAGAACAAAGCTCGGGATGGCATAAAAAATATTTATGTTATTAGGTGGCATTGATAAAATGAACATTGTCTTGATATTCATGTATTTATTTCATAATATTAACGGTTTGTTCTAAAAGAAATATCCTCCAAAATTTAAGATGATGAACTACTGTCAGTTCTTAAAAATATTATTTTTTTAATCAATAGTTATATGGAATTCCGCTTCTTCAAGTTTGATAAATTTTTTCGATGTGCCGATGAATTTATGTAGCATATTATAGTATATCCACGGCCACACATCAAGTAAATTTTAATACTTTGACCAGAACCAGCTTATTTTTTCACTGAACAATAGTTTGCACAGACAATACTTCGAACAAAATAAAAAAAAATGAATAAATTATGAAATCGACTTTTTAGTGGCTTATGATAAGTTTATAACAAAAAAATAGATTGAAAATGTCCAGGAAGAGATTGGATGTAAAAAAAGATCACCAACCAATTTGACTTCATCTACATAATTTTTTTAATGGGAATTTGAAAACGTCAAAAGTTAACTGCTGTGATCAACTTTATATTAAAAATGAGCAATTAAAACAAAAAATAAAATAATTAAATATTTTGTCAACGACAAATTAAATAAGTTAGGCAAAAAAATGCGAAGTTCTAATAGTACACAGCAAAGCAGAAAAGAAGTCAAAAAAATTTGTTATTTCTCGCAAGACAATCATTATTTTCCACCAAACTTCAAACATTGTTTTCTATAAGTCATAAATTCTCAGCTTATGTATATTGACATTCTAAATATTATTTCATAAGGTAAGAAACCCAAACAATGCCCAAAAAAGTTAAATCATAGTATAGATTGTTTTTGAAAATACTACTATAAATTTTATAGGTATTAATGTACGGCGTCCATATTTTAGGAAAATCACAGATCATTTGTAATAAAAGTAGAGACACGAGCTTACAACAAAAAAAATCATAAAGTTCTTTCAGATTACATTCCTAGATTGTAAGTATTTTACAAAAAATTACTACAGTCCTTTCTTATACGGTATACATTAACCAATCTAACAGTACAAGCTAAGCTCTAAAAGTGAAAGTTGTAATGGGGCTTCATTAAACATCTCGATAAAGATTTTCCTGGGCCTTTTTTAAACTAACACTCCAAAAAATNAGCGAAAAAATTCTTGTACTCTTAACTAATATTTCATTTATTAATATACAAATTTACTTTTCAAAGTAACAAATATTTGCTGCCCGTTGTTACTTTAATAGTTTAGCCATTTTTCTGTTTTAATTATGTCATAACCTGTTCATTTGAAATTGAATCTTGACAGTTTCAAACTTTTTTTGTTAATAAAAACCTTTTTTTTACTTGTATATTCATACAAAATTTTTTAATACCAATTTTTAACTAAAGTAAGAAATACTAAATTTACTAGAATATTTTGCACGAGTTAACACGAAGTCAATTTATTTCTATACAAAAAGTTAATCTATGGTCATTAGAAAAAACACCAACTATCTATTTGGATTTGAAACCAGAGGCATACGATAACTTATAAATTAATAACCTGATTCTTATCAGCTGAAAGTGATTTATATTTTAATCGTTATTTAAGTTTTTAAAGAAACTTTTCATTGTTTGAAAAACTTGCTGATAATTATGCCTACATCAAATGATATATTAACATTCTTTCATCAATTGTCTTCTTGGATTTCCTTTTTTTCTTCGTTGAGTGATTTACCAGTTTCTTCGATGTTGCTAGATCTTTTATCGTCAACTGCCATTTTATTATTGCAAGGAACATATATAGTTAAAGCTTTATCTGAACTAAACAATGCCTCGGCCTTTTCCAAATCGAATGAGTCACGGACACTCAACTTCTTATACAAGCCCTTCTCGTGCTGTTCTTCTGGTGGTGCCTCAACAATAATGTCCCTGCCTAAAACCTACAAACAAATGAAGTAAAGATTTATTAAAAGATTTAATGCTTTTGTGTTAAAAAAATCTAATAAATATTATAGATATTAATGTTATTACTCAATGAGTAAGTATTATGTCAAATTTTTATACATTGACCTCTTTTCATGTAAATTGCGCTATGTATATTTTTTATAGAAACGTCGCGCTTATTTTTAGAGTGAAAATCGCTGGAGTGTAAAAAATTTTGTCAATTAAAAATTACAAAGCAGTAAAAAAAGTTATCCGCTTCTTTTCGGCAAAAAGGAGGCCCAGGTTCGACTCCTGGCCGAATCGGATAACTTTTTTCACTGCTTTGTAATTTAAACTTAACAAAGTTTTTCGCACTACAGCGATTTTTACTCTGANTTGTCAATTAAAAATTACAAAGCAGTAAAAAAAGTTATCCGCTTCTTTTCGGCAAAAAGGAGGCCCAGGTTCGACTCCTGGCCGAATCGGATAACTTTTTTCACTGCTTTGTAATTTAAACTTAACAAAGTTTTTCGCACTACAGCGATTTTTACTCTGAAAATAAGCGCGACGTTTATATAAAAAAAATACATAGCGCAATTTAGATAAAAAGAGGTCAATGTATAATAATTTGACTAATAAATATTAGTTTAGCTAATTTTTTAGATACACTTTACATGATTAATTATTATACTTGGATGATATTTATTCAACCATTTATATATACTAAGTGCTTATTGCATAAAAAAAAAAAAGATTGAATAATTACTTACCTTAACAATAATTTTATCTTTGTTGTACATCGTGCAGTCCAGGTGGCACACAAATTTCTCCTACAAAAAGTTCATTTTACAAATTAAAATTTTACTGTAAATGAAGTACAAAATGAATTGCACTTATTATCAAAGATGATACTGTATGAACCTGCTTAGTTGAAGTACGAGAGTCATTACTAAGTTTAATATCTAAAAATGCAGGCTGACTCAATGTGCTGCAGGAAACAATAGAGGGAGAGCTTTCTTTGTCACCGTAGCCTTCATAATCCACACCTTTTTTTCCACCAGTCTTCCATACCATTTCTAGTCTACGTTTTTCTTCTATTTCTTCAAATATCCTAGTATCATAGTCATCGGCCATTTTTCAAATACACTTACTTAGACTCGGCAATTTTAATAAAATTTTAATTAGTTCCTCAATGCTCCGGCAAAGCCCAAGGTGCATCTGACGTGGTTAACAGTGTCCTACTAGCCTGTGCGTACATTGGGTGTAGCGTCATCACTATTTCAGGTAGTTGACAAGATGCAGTCGTGCTCAGTGAGAACGAAGATTACTGCGTATAATATTACTGTATAGTCAAAGTAGAAGTGGTTGAGTGCCACTCGTCTCTTTTCGTGCGCAGAAGAGCAAAAATTGGCTGTCTGCGCTGCTTGACGAAATCGGGCAACGTTGTATTTTCATATATATGTATATGTATACATGCATGTATATTATTTTTGTTTACCTTTTTTTTAAAATTTAGGTTATCGTATTACTTAATTTGTGCTCAGCCAGTTTATTTTGCAAATAAATATGAATAATCTCAGATTGAAGAACGGAAAATTTGTAACAAAAAAGTTAGGTAAGAAATACAGTACTTGTGTACATTGTATGAATGAAGCAAATAAAGCAGTGATTCGTAAAGAATTATGTGCACAGAAAGGAAGATCAAAAGTTGCTAAACCAACAGAAGTAGGAGAAAGTTCTTTAAAAGAAGGATTCATAAGTTCAGAAAATAATTAAAACGTATTTGAGGCAAAAAAACCGTTTGTACACATAAAAGAGAGTCAAGAAAGAAGAAGAATCGTTGATTTGGTTGAATTAGGAAAAAATCTAGTTTGTCGAGACTGTCAAGAAATTTTGAGTTTACAGAATATTTTTGATGAAAACCGTATCGGATTTTACTCTACACTAATGGTTCTCTGTACAACATGTGAGAAAGAAACCCGTGTTGAGACTGGTAAAATTAATAAAAAGTGTTCTGAAACCAACAAGGCTCTTATACTAGGTAATTTTTTTAAATTGCATGTCTTTTAATAAGTTTATTATTTACACGAATTACATTCCACAGTTTCAAATTATATTTTGAGTTCATGAATGACGTGTATANTTTTATACTAGGTAATTTTTTTAAATTGCATGTATTTTAATAAGTTTATTATTTACACGAATTACATTCCACAGTTTCAAATTATATTTTGAGTTCATGAATGACGTGTATATATAGCGGTAGTAGATGTATATATACAACGAGGGCGAACGACGTTGTCATGTCTCAAATTGTATATATAAACTGTCTGCTAAATTGGTTACGTTCGCTCGAAATACACGATGTTTGTACTAAAATTCCTTAAAAACAAGTAGCGGAAGGAACATCATGAGATAATGCTAAATATTCCTTGGATTCCACGGATTCAAAAGTTAGTTTTCTTTAAAAATATATAGAAAACTATTCTTGTAATCTTTAAAACTTCATGGCTCACATCAGCGTAACAGAGGCATCCCGTGATAAAAGCCATAAATTTATAAGTAAATATCTTAGTTTTTAGTTGCGGTACCTATGTTGAAATTTTACTGATGTGTAAACGACACTAAAATGTACTTATTTGCTAAGTTTCGAGAAAATCTATAGAAAATCGATTTTCTTGTCAACTACCTTAAATTTTAGCCATCTTGCTTGATGCACATAAAAGTTTACACTTTGGGACGTATTATTAACTTCTGCGCATGTGCTTATGACAAACTTTGACTTCTGCGCATGCGTGGATGCCTATAATAGATAATACGTCTTAAACTGCAAACCTTTATGCACATTAATAGACCCCTTGGTAGCTAATCAAGAGTACTGAAGGAATTTAAAAATTCCATTACTTGTGTTAGAGGTAGCAGTACAGTATCTCTCTCTTTTTCTCTTTCTCTCTAACTTGACGTTTCTGAGTCAGAAAGAGAGGAAAGGGCCATAGCTTACTTTTAATTTTCGGGCCCCTTTACATTTTAAAAAAGTGGCAATTTGAGCTATTATGGGCAAATTGTAAAATCAATAGTGTGTTGATGAGGGATAACTTAATAAATCTTTGTTTCTTCAAAAGTTAATAATATAACTTCACTAAATTCATTGTGGTGAACACTTTTATGTATTAATTATATCACCCATTTAATTTTATTTAAAGATACGTATTTTACTCTATGTTTGCTTGTAGTGTCAATTTATTTTTTAGCATAGTCAGTACCAGCGTAACTTTTGCAATAGTAGTCTTTCTAGAGTGATTTTATTTGTATGTATTAGAAAGAACCATTTCCTATCAGAATAGGCCAGCGTTCATGTTTGTGAGTCATGTTTCCGTTTCAGTGTAGCTACGAGCAACTTGCAGGTAAAAAATCTCTTTCAAGATGCACGTTGTTCCATGCTTTGACGTTTTCTAAATCAGTTTAAAAAGTTTCTAAGGAAAAAAAAATCAATAAAGACATGAAAAATAAATCTTAAACATTAAAAGTATGAAATGTATGAAGCTTAGACTAAGCTCTTTGTGTTTATTTCAAACGAATCCTACTGTTGTTTAACATTATTAAAGATAGAAAAACTTTTTAATGTCTTCGAGATTTTCAAAAATATTAATTTAGATAGGCAGGAGGTATTACAAAATAACTTTTTTGTATTGATGTAGTAAAACTGTCCTGGTATTAAAGCTTTTTAGTTCAAGATAGGAAAAGATCTGACGAGGGTTAGTTAAGGTTCAAAACCCAGAAAATATAGTATTTGTAATCTGATACTGATCAATTATATATCAACTTGAGTCAGTGACACACATAGGCACTTATATTTTTGTGAAGCTCCACTACTACGCCCTCGATTCCTGATGACTAATTTCTAATCTTGATGCCCATCTTTTTGGAAGACTTGAGCTTAGGAAGACAACGGGACTTCCCCTGACCGTTTCGTGTAAATACTGCGGAAATCAAGGATAACGTTTCAATTTTAACCCTGTTTTGTATCTACGTGTGTTTGGTTTGTTTTTTTTTTTTTTTTTTTTTTTTCGTCAAGTGGTATCAGCCGCGTAATGTCGTAGTGACTCTTTTGAATTTCGGATCATCGGTCGCACGCAGTACTGTATTGGTAGAAAAAGACGAGCTTAATATCGATAAGTGTAATCTTATACACGACCTAGAAAATATTTAAAGTGTATTAAATATTTGAATCATTAGGGTGGCTGTAAGACGAAAGGATACGAAAATTTTTTAAGTATTGTTTCGTTCTCGAAAAACATAAAAATTTCATTATCGCATCGTTCTTGAATTTATCTTAAAATAGAAAAAATTGTAAGTGTCTTGATTAATGTTCAACTTGACCTCAAGATCTTGGTACTGACAAGAGATGTACGAGTGTAAAATTTAATAAATCAATAGTATTAAAATGTATGAAGATGTATACGTAGCTAAAGAAATGATTTTTTTATATTATACATTTAATTAAANGATATATTTAATGAGATCATAAGTTAGCTATCCACACTTGACTATTTTCCTGCATAGTTTAACAATAAATAATCATGATATTACATGCGCGTACATAGGATATTTAAATGAGAAAAAAAAATAGAACTTTCGTTGATTTTTATAAAAGTAATATAAGAAGAGTACGGCTACTTTCTCTGTAACAGTACCTTACTATTGATTGGTTTTAGTGCACCCTTTGTCGATGCATTATTATTTCCATCAATATACTCTCTCTGTTCTTCTACAGAAAAGAAAAAATAGGGATACCCACACTTATTTGAAGCTTTTCGTCACCATGCCCTTGATCTCTGACCTATTATCTTTAACTATCTACCAGTATAAATAATCGTATGAACTTTAATATTGGGGCGAGGGAAAAACTGGATTGATTTTTTTCTTTTTGTCGCACGTAAATGCTGCGTACATTCAGAATGACCAACCTAGTTATTCTACCCTCCACTACAGAGTTGTGCCTCTAGTATATTCATATTAGATTTTTTTATGGCCTGAATGTTTTGTTGTTGTTTGACGTTTATTTATTAACGTTGAATCAAGCAGTATATTTTCTTATGTTTTAGGGCATCGATCGAATGTATGCTTTTTCGTTCGTATAGAAAATCGTGAATAAGCTTTTCGTTAGTCCATGTATATTTTTCTATTTAATGTTTATCTGGTGACAATTTTGTCAGAACGTGACACGTAGTTATTTCCCTGAACAGTAAAAAAAAATCGAAATTTAAATAAAGTGCGTTTTTAGCAGGAAGCTCAAAATAAACAATACTAAAAGAACTTTTTTTTCAGGTGTATTTTCGTTAGTCAGCACGATCTACAACTGATTGCACCTAATTTGTGGATATGAAAGTTTAACTGTGGATGGTACTCGAAAATGTAACCCTTTGCCATGAAAAAACCTTCGAAATAACAAACAAAATTAAACCTTTTACCTCCATGAAATTGTACGTGTGTAGGTCAGGGTAACCTTAATTATTGTAAGCAGAGGATTCGGCTTTATTTCTTACAAGAGAAATTTATCAGGAATATGGCTAGTTAACAAAATTTCGTTTTGGCTGGTTTGTGATTTTTGGGATGACCCAAAATATTGAAATCGACTATTAAATAGTTTTAATTGATGTTGTGACATAAAAATAACAATAGATTCTCATTTGTCTACATTGGTTTCGTAAAGTCAATGAAACTATAATTTTTTTTCTTGTTCGTAACATCATCACACAATGAGTAACAAAATTATGGTAGCAATAGTATAGAAAGACGCGTGAGTGTAATGGTTGTATATAATTAATACTTTGCACTTTGTGCTTGTCTAAACTTGAACCTTAAATATAAATAAGCGTTGATTAAAGCTGTAAAAATATAGTTCATCGTTAAAAAATTTATGAGTAAAAATCAA